GCAAAGGAAATTAAAGTTGCAGATGAAATTAAGGTTGCTAATCAGCTGACATTACGATAAAATGATTACCCTGGATTATCCAGGTGGACCCAATATAATCATCAGTCCTTTAAAATGAAAGAGGGAGGTGGAAGAGCAAGCTGATGTCACGTGAGGAGGACTAAGCCCACCCTTGCTGAACCTCTAGGATGGAACAAAGATGCCTTGATTCTGGCCTCGTAAAACCCATGTCAGACTTCTGACCTACAGAACTCTAAGACGATCAGTTTGTGTTGTTTAAAGCTATTAAGTTTGTAGTTATTTGTTATAGTGGCAAAAGAAAACTAATACAGTTGCTATGGTAAAAAAAATTTTTTTTTTAAAGATAAAACACAGAATTTGTACTTTTAATAAGAAATGTCTAATAACTATTCAGGATTTAACTTTTACCTTTGTATCTGTAACTTGAAACTTGCTTCCTTCTGCACTGAGATTTCTTTATAATGTGAGAATCAAACTTGATAAGTCTTTAATTTTTTAAAAAATTTTTAATGTTTATTCATTTTTGAGAGAGCGAGAGAGAGAGCGTGAGAGCTGGGGAGGAGCAGAGAGACAGGGAGACAGAAATCAAAGCAGGCTCCAGGCTCGCAGCTGTCAGCACAGAGCCTGACGGGGGCTTGAACTTATGAACCATGAGATCATGACCTGAACTGAAGTCGGACGCTTAACTGACTGAGCCACCTAGGTGTCCCAATAAGTCTGTAATTTAAAAGTACTACAACCAACAGCATTACATTCAATGTATATTTATATGTCAATTTCAAAATTAAACATAAAATTAACATATATACTCAAAACCTAGTAAGAATTATGTATGAGGTGAAAAAAGTGATAATCATGTTTTAGCTATGCTTTTGTGCACAGAGATTCTATAAGAATTCTCATAGTAAGATACTAAGTTCAACATAATATTAAGATATGAAGTTTGACTCCGAAATAATGTGACACACGTGAGCTAGTAACCATTTTTGAGGATGGTGGCTTTAAAAAAAAACAAATCTATATGCTATAATAAAAATTAGGTGTTTGGAATGCTTATCTTCCACTTTTTTGCTCGACAAACTCCTACTCAGTTCAAATATCACCTCTTCTAGGACACATCTTCCCCCACACTTCCCAGGCAGTCACCTGTTCTATGTGCAGAGCCCCACAGCCTTTTATTCATCTTGTTTTCTAATTTATCTAGCTACAGATCTCTCCCCACCAATTCTCATCCCTCAGCCCAGCCGATGATCCTCCCAGAGACAATGTCTTCTTATTCTTTGTTTTCTCAGAATCCAGCACACTGCTAGGCATACAGTAATTTCTTTTTTTTTTTTTAAGGTTTTAAGGTTCATACTTCTGTTGATCTAATATACTAGAAAGGGAAGTTTGAGTACCTCCTTAACCTGTGTGATCTGAGAATCTTTACCAAAAACATTCTACCTTCTAAGTTCTTTGTTTTGAATCAAGGCACCTTTGACATCTAACTAAACTTTCAAAACAGAAAAACAAATATAAATTTGTAAGGAATCAAAACTCAGTAACAAGAGCTTTACTAGATGAAAATATGTTCACTTCTAATGATGCAAGCAAACAGTATTCCCTAACTAAATGAGATGAAGCTAAAAATTGTCTAATAAATAGTAATATAGGTTGCTCTGACATTTAGAATAGTTAATTCTTACAATAATTTAATCGAAGTCTTTCTCAGAAAATCTAGGCCAACTATCTGACAAGGTTATGGTTTATACTGCAGGGTTTATCACAGTGTGGGATTGTGAAGTTCTCTGTCCTTTTCTGCCAATACAAATCTTAACTGGTCTGTAAGTGAAAAGAAAGAATCAGGAAAAAGATGATATCACTTCCGCCATTCTTCTGCAAAAAACCAAAATGCTATCCAGATGTATATAATTCAAGATTTTTATACCTTCACATCTCTCCCTGGGGGCTGATTTTCTTGGTGCCCCCCAAACCTTCTGGACCATGTGAATGACAGAGCAGCAGCTGTTACCTTTCACTGAACATTTATCACATGAGACGTTTCTGTATACATTTCCTCAGCTAAGCCTCACAACAGCCGACAAGATTCTGTTTTACAGGTGAGGCTCAGTAAGGTTACACTGATTGACCAAGACCTCACAACTAGCAGCAGAACTTGGGAAAAACTATGGATTTAAAAAATCCAGATCTAGGGGGCACATGGGTGGCTTGGTTGGTTAAGTGTCCCACTCTGGATCTTGAATCAGAGGTCATGATCTCACAATTTGTGGGTTTGATCCCTGTGTCAGACTCTGTGCTAATGGCGATGGCACGGAGTTGGCTTGGGATTCTGTTTCTCCTTTCTGCTCCTCTCCCATTTGTGCGAGTGCTCTCTCTCTCTCTCTCTCTCTCTCAAGATAAATAAACTTAAAAAAATAATAATAACTAAAAAATCCAGATCCATATGAAGAGAGGTGGTGTCATGTCACATCAAGGGAACACCAAATAACCCTTTACACTTAAATACAGAATGATTATGGCAGACTGTTTATCTTCATTTTGGTTTTTTTTTCTTTTTTTCCTTAGGCCAAAATGAAAAGTTAGTTTACATTTTCTGGGCAAACTTTACCAGTAGGAGATCCCAATAGTATATTAGGTGATAGAATAAACCAAATTTGTACCATTTTTCAATGTTTTTCATTCCACAAAGAATTCACACCTGATAACTAAGTATATAACATACTTACACCCATTAATTTAACCAATTAGCCAGATTTTAAAGAAGTCCATAATTTCTTTTAAGGTGAATGTAACTCAGCCTTGTCTGAACAACACTCCACCCTTATAGCCTATAGAGTAGCAAAATTATGGAAGCAGGAAGAAAGATTTCCCATCCGCTCATATAACTAAGCATCTTCTCCTGCTATCTTAAGGAAAGAAATTTTAAAACCTGGCTAATAATCAAATCAAACTGTTTCAATGAATTTTCATGATTGCTGAGAATCGTTGGAGGTCGTACTACCAAAATACAAGAGAAATTTTGCATCATTTACAACATTCAATAAGATCTTTTAAAGCACTGCCATTCATAATAAACCAGAATGTTAATTTGTTAATATATAATGAAAAACACCAAGTGGGCAAAAATACTAAAATGAGTTGGTAAGTAAACCGCCTCCCAAGCAAAAGTTTCACATGGACAGCAGTATTTTAAGAATCACATTTGTTTTCCTCCAATATCTCTTATATCCACTCCCTCTTCCCCACCCTGACTCCCACATTATGATAATGGCTTCATTGATCCAGGGTCCATAGGAAGAAATACACAGTCAACAGATAGGAATATAGCTGAAACAAAACTTTTACAGAACACTTTTTTTACTGCAGTACATGGGATGCACTCTAATGTTATCTTTTCTATTTTTTTTTTAATTTTTTTTTAATGTTTTATTTCTAGGAGAGACGAGAGAGAGACAGCGTGAACGGGGGGGGGGGGGGCAGAGAGAGAGGGAGTCACAGACTGAAACAGGCTCCAGGCTCTGAGCTGGCAGTCAGCACAGAGCCCGACGCGGGGCTCGAACCCACGAACCGCGAGATCATGACCTAAGCGAAAGTCGGACGCTTAACCGACTAAGCCACCCAGGCGCCCCTCTATTTTTTTTTTTTTAATGTAGATTGCAACCTACTACAGGCACAACCTTAAGTCTGAAAAACCCTGATCTACTACAGCTACCTTTATGACCATATTACCCCTTATCATCATAAAATGTAAATCTATTTTACTCCTCTGCTTAGAATACTTAAAAAGTTCCCTCTGCCTTATCTGTAAAAGTGAATAAATAAATAAAATGAACAAAAAGTTTTTCTGTGATTCAGCCATTCATTTATTCAGCAACTATTTACTGAGAAGCTACTGTATGCCAGGCGCTGTGCTATACAGTGGTATATGGGGCCAACAGAGGTGCTGACGTCAAAGTTTACAATCCAGCTAACACAGTTATTACCTCAGTATTTCATACTCTATATGAGCGCTCTTATCTACCTCTCCAACTTAAATTCATTACCCTCCTTCACTTTTACCACATGGCTCTAACTACTCAAATCTGCACAGAGGTCCCAGAAAAACCACTCTCCTACATCTTGGCCATTGTCCATGATATTCCCTTGGACTGGAATCCCTTTCCTTTAATCATCTCACAAATTCCTCTTCAGGAATCAACCCAAGTGTCTCCTCTATCCACAGTTCTCTGCCCCTTCCCACGCCCTTTCCGTTGTCACTCCTGTCTCTCGTCATCATATGCAGGTTACATCCCTCAATTATAATGCTGGTCACATTGTTTTAAGTAGTCTTGTCTAGACTATGAGTTACCTTTGTACCCACAGCATATGCCCACAGAATAAATGAACGTGTACTATGAGTTTGTACGGGTCTATAACTCCATTATATTGATTAATCCATGTTTGAAAACATACATTTTTCTAGATTTTACAGTAAATATGTATTTATTTAAGGACTTTCTTTTTAAAGTCTTATTTCAATATATGGATATTTTCCTTCATTAAAAATCCGCTCAGCAGCAGCCAGTCTGACTTGGGATATTTGTCTTGTAACTGATCCAATGAATATTCTCAATTTCAATAACTACTCTGGCAAGAAAAAGCATATAGGATTTCCAAAATCAATACATTAGGTCAGTGTCTGCAGCACAGCACAGTTCATACAGGCAGTGCAGTGTTACACAACGTGTGTCCATTTCTCAATGCGGATCATTTTCAATTAGAAGGTAAACTGTCAGGTGCCGTTAATCTGTTTACCATCGCCCACCATCCCCCACAGAAGGTTTTACATTCTCCTTTTCAAATAGTCTCAGGAAGTTTTGGTAGAGCAGAATGACTTTTTAAACAAGCACCTTTTAAATAGGTCATTGTTAGAGAAGAGTAAAACCAAACACATACGGAACTCATGCAGGAAATACTCTAAAGTTCTCTCTCCACTTTACCTTTTATCACATTTCCAGGGAAGACTCAGAGTTCCCAATTTCCACTTTTAGGTTTCAATCTGTTTGGGAAATCTCTTCTTTTTCTAAATTTCATCACCATTAAACGTCTTACTTCACTCCCATTGCTACCACCCAAGTTCAAATCCAAACTGGTCTTAGGGAGCCCTACGTATGATCTATGTATGAGTGACCCACATGTCATCACACATGACTATATGAGGCAACAGTCAGCTAAGGGGCAAATGTTTCAAGCACTCGCCAGTCCTTCCTATGCCAAATATAGGTTTTCTTTAGTCTTCAAATATCTCAAGATGATACTTACATTTCTTATGATTATGTAACTTTTTGCATCTGTTTTGCTCTAACAGAATAGAGCCCTAAAAATAACTGAATTGTTCCCTTTTTGGAATTCTTATTACCTTGAACACAAAACAATATTGTTGACTAACAAAAGAATATTTGTGGGGAGCCTGAGTAGCTCGGTCCGTTAAGAATCCGACTCCTGATTTTGGCTCAGGTCATGATCTCATGCTTCTTGAGGTTAAGACCCAGTCAGGCTCTCCACTGACCAAGAAGAACCTGCTTGGGATATTCTCTCTCCCTCTCTCTCTCTGTCCCTCCCCCACTCTCTAATAAACTTTAAAAAAAATAAGAAATTCTTTGTAGACATTGCAGATGACCCAAAAATGATTTAAAATCTTCACAGGCCTCCGGGAAAGTTGATTTTCTACCAACTTGGAAAAGCTGTAATAATCTATTTGTTTTTCTATGTATATGTACTAGGGCACAACTCTTAAGATAATAAAAAATTTTATCATGCCATTTTTGCTTAGGTGGTCTTTCATTTGCTAATGACAAATATGAATTATTTGAACACATACGTCTCCTGGAAGGGACTTAGACCCTGTCTTTCCAGAGTATTTGACAAAGTCTGGATACTCTGTGACTTTCAGTATGAACCCTACTATATATCCTGGATTATATTCCATAGAAGAGTTTTAATTTCACTCTTTGGTAGTAGCTACACTGGACTATCGTGCCTTTCTCCGATCCATCCTCTGGTGGACCATTCACCAAGTCTGGCATCGGCAAGGGACCAGCAACCTCACCAAAACCTCCTTAGTGTGGCACAATAGTAAGCTCACAAACGTGCCTAAAATGTCAATTTTAAAACACTGCTTCCAAAACGACCCTTCCCTTTGAACCCATCCTACCGACGAAGGCCGGTCAGCACATATCCCGCATTCCCATTATCACCCAATTCAATAATATTCCTTTTCCTTCCCCCACCCCAAATCCTCCAGGGGGCGCCCCTGACGCCGGGGTGTGCCCCCACCCGCAGCCCGAGGACAGAGCCCACCTCCGGCTCCAGAAGCGGAGCGCAACGCCCGCCCCACACTCACCCTCCCGAAGTCACGGAAGTGCAGCCCTGACCCGCCCCTTCCGCCGGGCAGGGTTCGCCCCGCCCCGCGCTGGCCGCCGCGCGCAGGCGCAGGACCCACTGCCGGACGTGGAGCCCAGAGGGCTGCCGGGTCGGACTGCGGGGCGGGGCGGGGCAAGGGTCCCGGCGGACGTGGCCGCGGAATTCCAGCGTGTGTATGGGAAGCTTGTGCGTTAAGGCCTGGGGGCCTGTGTCGGCGTGGGGAGGTCTGCTGGGCACCGGGAAACTATCGGGAAGTGAAGCAGGATGGGTGGCTTACGGCTCTCGAGGAGCTCTTTTTCAGGTCCTTATCGGATCGTTCGCTTCCAAAGCTGGAGGGTAACATTTCATACCCTCCCAGCCTTGGCGCTTTGAATAGTCCTGGAGCCAGGGTCCAGTCCCGGGCGCCCGCGGCGTGCGACTGCACGCGAGCGCAGACCCCTTTCTTCCTCTCCAGAAACTTCAAATGTGGGGTACAGGGCGAGACGTGGGCCGTTTGACAAACTGGTGACATCAAGAAGACTCCAGACTCCGCAAAGCAGTTTCCAGCCTATTGGAATAAACGTTTAATCGAAATATAACTCAAGTGTTTAAGCCATGGCGTAGTTTTTTCTCTTAGAAGTTATCAATTCGGGGGCGCCTGGGTGGCTTGGTTAAGCGTCCGGCTTTTCGCTTAGGTCATGATCTCGCGGTTCGTGGGTTCGAGCCCCGCGTCGGGCTCTGTGCTGACTGCCAGCTCAGAACCTGGAGCCTGTTTCAGTCTGTGACTCCCTCTCTCTCTGACCCTCCCCTGCTCATGCTGCCTCTCTCTCTCTCTCTCCCCCTCTCCCTCTCTCTCTCTCTCTCTCTCCTAGAAATAAATAAAAATATTTAAAAAAAAAAAAAAGAAGTTACCAGTTCGTATTGATTAACATTGTGACGTGTACTAAAAGTAAGGACTCCTGCTTATTGCCCTTGGAAAGTCACCGACGGGGAAAAGCCTCCCGGCTGAAATGGAGATGGAAATGAACATGCTTAATATTTGTTTGCTACCTCACTGTGGGGCCGGAATGGTAACTAAGTTTTTGAAAACCTGTTGGATTCTGTAATAACTAGTAAATCCTGAGTTTTACCGGCGTTCTGGGATTTTTAGGGAAAACGAGTCTCCCAAATGTATGCTGTAATGTAAAGAGAGCATCAATAGGCAATAAATAGCAAGGTTCAAATTATGGCAAACAGAAATGGTCATAACTGAGGGCTATTTATAATTAGTATCTGGAGCCAAGACCCCAGTCTCCCCATATGATATGCATAATTGAATGCATTTGTGAGAGGTTAGGACTTTCTCAAATACTTGATATGCATTCCTTTTTGTTGAACATAGAACAATAAAAAAAAAAGAATTGGTTTTCCTTAGTGTCTTCATTATTATTCAGACTAAAAGACCACCACTTTTACCCCAGAGTAATTGTAATTGACCTAAGTATAGTCAATTACAGAAAAAAACCTGAGTCTGCATGAAGTAGAGGGCCTTGTGGCAAACATGGAAGCAAGCAGTCAGATATGGCTTCACATCTCAGCTCCTGAACACACCGAATACTATAAGGATAAAACTTGGTAGAGGTTACTTCATTTAAACTTTAAGTTTGGGGTAACTCATCTGTACAATTTTTTTGATAAGTGTTAAATTTAATGAAAGCTCTTTGCACTATCTAAGGAAATGAGGACTCTTAAAAATGATTTTTAATCCTTACCTGGTTGTTATTCTACAGACTTGAACACTTTAGTTCATTTCTTTTTTTTTCTTTTCCTTTTCCTTTCCTTTCCTTTTGTTATCCCGATATTTCCTAAATTGTTTTATGCACATTAGTCCTTTGCGAAATGTTAATAGATGCTTTATGGAAAAAAATTTCTAGCCTCAGTACTGGGAAAAACTTACAAACCTGTTGCTGTGAGGTTATTTAAATCCCTGTAGCATTCTTACGAAAAGTTTTTATCCAGAATCTGTGAGGAACACTCAGATAAATTCAGTGTGATATATTTGGACTTTTCAGTAACGTCAAACTTCTCTATATCAAATATAGGTTTGATATTTTTTTAAATTAAGTTGGTGGGGGCGCTGGGTGGCTCAGTCAGTTGAGCATCCAACTTCGGCTTAGACTTCAGCTCGGGTCATGATCTCACCGTTTGGTTCATGAGTTCGAGCTCTGTGTGGGGCTAACTGCTGTAATTGCAGACCCCACTTGGGATCCTCTGTCCTCTCTCTTTCTGCCTCTCCCTCACTTGCTAGCACGTGCTCTTTCTCTCTCGCTCTCAAAAAAAAATAAAAACATTAAAAAATATTAAAAGGGAAGGAATTGTAGCTAGCAGTTACTAGCTTTTACTTTTTTTTACTAGCAGTTTTTTAAAAAATATGCTGGTAATGCTTATTTATAGGAAAATACAGAATTCATTTATATACTAGTTTTCTTACAATCTGACCTTAAGAAATGGTGTGGCATGTCTTAGAACTATAGGAAATCACTTGAGAAATGACTCCATTCTCAAAGGCATGATATTGCATCCACCGAGGCCTGTTTACCAGAGTAATGTTCATGTATATCATCCTAAGATCCCTGCTCTATGCTGTGTATATTGCATTAGAATTTTAACAATTCTATTCATTCTATTGATGAATTCTTAAAATCTGTCAATAGTTTTAAAATGTTCTCTCATTCCTACAAATATTTCTGTACTGCTATGTGCCCATGCACTCCACTAGGTTCTAGAGATAAAGCTGCTATCAGTAGTGTACAGATAAAGCTCCTACCCACACACAGCTTGCTTTTGCGGAGCAAGAAGAACACAGAGAGAATGAACATTGGGTTTGAGGTTAGTGCTGAGAAGAACTACCGTGACTTCCAGTGCTTTGACAGAACGTCAGATGGGAGGCCTTCTATCCAAGTGTCTACGATTTCATATTGTTGGAGCATTTGCTGTATCCCTGGGGCTTGTAGCTTTCTAGAAGTTTACTGCGGCCAAACCAAGAAAGAAGGCATATGCAGATTTCTACAAAAATTAATGGTTACAAGAAAGATTTTGAGGAGAGGAGGAGGGCTGGTGTCTTTCAGAGCGCAAAGAGATTTTGGAATGTAAAGAATTCCTTTGGGTTGAGTTCCATGGAAGTTTGCCACTGACCTGTGTTCCTGAACTATGAAACATGAATATTCGGTTGTGGAATATTTATCTTAATAAATAAACAACTAGCAAATACTGTGGACAGCAAAAACAAAAAAAAACAAACAAACAAAAAACAAGCAAATGTGTATCAAATGATAAGGGCTATATAGAATAATAAACTAGGGTCAGAGATTTGAGGATACCAGGTAAGGGTGGGGCAAATACTACCTTATACAGGGTGAACAAAGACGACCTCACTGAGAAGATGACATTGGAGCAGAGACGTGAAGGAAGTGAAGAAAGTGAAGGAGTGGGCTTTGGAGAGCTAAGGAAAGTGGGGATTGAGAAAGGGCAGTGGGCTTAGCATGTTTTAAGAATAGAAAAGAGACCAGAGTGAATGAATGATGAAAAACAAGAGGGGGAGTTGCAGGAGATGAGGTGGGAGAGGTAGCCAAGGCCAGATTATGTATTATGCTTTCAGAGGTGTTTTAGCTACCTTTTTAGAGAGAGTTACCCCGGAAGCACTTGCTGTACTACTAGAACATAGTATCCGCTAACTGCCATTGTATTTGTTTTCTACTCTGTGATAAGAAATTACCACAAACTTAGTGGTTTTAAAAAGTCAGATTTATTATCCTACAGTTCTGTAAATTTGAAATCCAGTACAGGTCTTTCCTGGATAGAATCCTCTCTAAGGAAAGATCTGTTGCTTTGCCTTTTCCTGATTCTAGAGGCTGCTTACATTCTTTGCCTTGTGGACTCTTTCTGTCTTCAGTCATTAACAATGGTCAAAGATTCTCCACTCTTAAGGATTCTTGTGATTAAATTGGACCCACCCAGGTAATCCAGGGTAATCTCTCCATCTTGAAGGTTCTTAACCTTAATCACATCTGCAAAATCCTTTTATCCTCATAACATTCACATATCCTGGTAATCTGAGTGTGAACATTTATGGGAAAGGCATTCTTCCTACCACAGTCCATCCTCTGATCCCCAAAGATTCAAATCTGTTCACCTGCAAAATCTATTCACCTCCTCCCTAAGCACCCCCACATTCTCAACACATCACAGCATTTCATCTAAATTTCAAAAATCCCAAACCACATCTAAATTATGTACAGGTGAGACTCTGAGTATAATCCCATCCTGGACAAAATCCCTTTCCTTCTATAGACCTGGGAAACTAGAAAACAAGATATCTGCTCCTACAATGCAATGGAAGAGGAGAAACAGGAGAGCAGTTGCAGCCATTCTCATTCAAAAAGGGAGAAAATTGTAGGATGAAAGTAGTCACCAGTCCCAAATAATTTCAAAGGCCAATCAGGCAGTCTCCATTAAGTTTCAAGCCAAGGACTAAACTGTGGTTCTTGCTTGGTTCTGCTCTCTGGGCTCACAGCTCTACACTCTGAGCACTGGGAATTAGAGTATGCACATCTTTGATGGGCTATTTTTCTGCCCCTCACAAGCATCATTATCATTAGATTTAGTATTGTTTTTTAACTAATCTTCATTTAGTAGTGGTTCTTTAGCTCTTAAGTTTCTCCATTAGCCACAGTCAAGAGGTTAATTACTGTTACACAAATACACAGTCAGTACTTGAGGACTTCACCATTTTAAGGAACTTTAATGTACATCATTCCATGGTAAATGCAAATATACCATCTAATTTCTCTTAGATGGAAAAGAGTGCACTCCCATTTTTATATACAGATCATATTTTCTTTATAGGCAGTTAATTTATTCTAAAACTACTGATTGCTAAAAAAGACTAAAATAAAAATAAAATTATTGATTTCTTTCAGGCCCAAGAGTTCCTATATTATGCTTCATTTTACGGGATAGGCAAAGTTTTACAACTTCTAAGGTCATCATTCTTGCCCTTTAAGGACACTGGAAACTCTGCCTCCCAGCAGGTGGCAGCAAATCAATATTCGATAAGGTGCAGTAAAATTATGATCTTCTTGTCCTAGTAAATGTTCTGGGTGGTGCAGACTGTGGCCTCTCCTAGATCGAAGAGCAAAAAGACTATTGTCACCAGATGGTAGGAATTTATATCAATTTATCAACTACTTGGGAGAGGGTATTTCATTTATTTGACTAAATTTTATTATATCATTATATCAATGGTGTTCTTCACTGTTTGTCTCTCACAAAAGTCCATTTGTAAGCAATTTTGCTTGAATACCAGTAATGCTCATATATCATCTCCATAGCTAAATACCTCTCCATACCCTTTATGTGGCTAACAACCATCAACACAACACAGCATTTCAAAAGGTATGAAATACAGATAAAGTATTCTTAGGGGACACATGTATACCTTTTTTATTACTTTATTAAAAAAAGAATAGTTAATGAATGATCTAAGTCAAGGTCAGTGAAATAGTCCACGGGCCAAATTTGGGGCAGAGCCTGCTTTTGTATACCCTGCAAAGCTCTTAAC